TTCATAGCAATAGGGCGGAGAGTCTAATTAAAGTCGCAGAGGCTTGAATGAGACTGAAGGATAGTTTAATTAAACTATTGGATGGTTTAATTCTAGACTCAAATAGTTTAATTAAACTATTGGATGGTTTCATTAAAGTCTCCAATAGTTTAATTAAACTATCCGCCAGGAACCAAGAACCAAGAAACAAGATTCCTAGAAAAGTTTTGCTGAGAATCTTGGTTCCTGGAACATGGGGGAATCAGCGGCAGGACTCATTGCGCAGAGCTGGGGTCCGGGCCAAGTGCAGCGTGAGTTCCCTGTCTGGGGGCCGCTTGACATAGCTGCGTACGCAAAAACTTGGATTCCCTCGCTAGCTTCCTTGCTTTGACATGGCACACACCTGCTGCGTGCGCCACGCATGATCATGTTGTCACATGGTTTGATTTACCACGCGGCCAGGCAACAAACGAGAAGCTTGAGACGCGGGTGTCTCGAACGACTTTGGGCCCAAGCTCCTCAAGGCTGGGCCTCTAGGAAGGACGTTCACTATCGACACATTTTTTCTTTTTTGTTAGCTTCGAAACCTACATGTTGTAGCAAGTCGCGTCTGAGCTAGATTTCAACAGCGCGCAGCGGTACACCGCAAAGCGAGCAATTGGGCTCTCTTTTTTCCCTGGACTCTTCTGCACAACCCTGCAGCCCCTGAACGCCTATAAAACAAGTCGTACAAGGCTCTGGCATCAATCACGGCCGCAGCTTGGTGATCGTCACGAACTCGAACAACAGCGATCGTCTCATCGTTGCCGTACCTGGCGCCGTCGTTGACGCAGGACCGCCACCTCACAGAACAAGGCCTTCGTCCACTCGAGCTCTGCAAGTCCATCATGGCTAGTGCTTCAGAGCCCAAGGGTGATTTTACAGCACGGCGAAGTCTATGAGATTTCCAGCTGTTGATCCTCAGTCCGCCCCTCCTTGCCGGCCATGATCTCGTGCTCGGCAAATGCGACCAAGAAGCCATCCTGGCTTTTGTCACCCTCCAGGTTGCTGACAGAAGCATCTTAAAAGACCATCCATATGCCCTGCTCAGCTCCAACGGAATCGGGAGCACACTCAGTCGCACTTCACAGGCGCGCTTGAGTTGCTGGACAGTCTTGAGTCTGGTTGGCAAACGTCAAGTGTCGAACTTTGGGGCCTTCCTTTCCCCACGCCATTGCGAGGGCACGAGCTGCCGCGACGTCTGGCCGCGACTCTCGGCCGATCCACAACAGGGATCCACCGGCTCCTCGAAGCAACATGGTTTCACGCTCATCAAGAACTCTGTCCTCGTCCTTGACCATGTCGCCGGGAAGTAATAGTGGGCCATGGAGATTTATATTTCGTAGCTGTCCAGTTGATAGACAGTCCGGCCCAAATACTCGCCCAAGCTCTTGTAAATCGTTCGCCATTTTCCAAATCGGAGTCTGCCGCGCAACTTCTCCATCAAGTCACCATGGCGAGGATTTCCATCCTGAAGGAAGTCGTTGACATCTAGAGGCACTAGTCCAGTGCATCCTCGTCGTCGGTCCGGGTTCTCGTCCTCGGTGAAGGGAAGGTAGTAAATGCAGGGGTCAAAGGTGGACTCCTTGTAGCCCAACTCGGCCAAGACTCTCCGAACAGTTTTTCGCCAGATGGACTACACCATAAACGGCCCTCAACACGCGGGCGATATAGTCTTGGCTCTTGCCAGGAAGGCCACTTGGTGGCATGGTCGCAAAGAGTGGCCCCTTCTGTCTCTCACGGTGATCTGACTGCCCAAAAGCACTGCTGACATCCATGATCACGAGCTCGTAGCGCATGCTGCTGAGGATTTGAAATGCCAAGCACACAGTGGGAGTTGCCAGTGTCGGGGCATACAGGATCGCGATGCCCAAGCAGAATCCACCGAGCTTTAGCTTCCCAGCTCTGCCCTAGCTCTTGCTGCTTCTCAGTCAGGACGAAGCGCGAAGGCATGATCCTGTGACTGAAGGACTCCCTGATCTTTCGGATCTCTTCAGGGTCCGTCACAAAGCTAATAGCACTGGACCCCTCAACGTTCTCGATCTCCGTGAGCTTGGCCTCGGCACACATTTTGCGCTCCTGTTCGGTCAAGGTGCGCTCTTGGCTTTCCTTGCCAGACTTCTTCGCCACACAGATCCATCCGGAGTGCAGCTCGGAGTACGTGTAGAAGACGTCCCTCTTGACCAGCTTGCTGAAAGCTTCAAGATCTCTGGCATTTGCGACCACAGGGAACTTCCTCTTGTCTCCCCGAGGTGTCACGTAGTCAGCAACCCAGACGCCGCCGATCTTCGACTTGGTTGCGGAGCCCCATGATGTCCTCAGCCGTCATGGCCCCTTTTCAGACCATGATCGAAAAGCCTTCGATCCTCATAAACAGGAACTCCTGGATCAGGATGCCCAGGTCGTGGCCGGTAGAACTGCGTGGTCTCGATGTTCTTGACTCCCTGCGGTAGTGCTTGGCTAAGTTCTCTCGGTCGCTCGTTGCCCGTGAACTCGTCGTCCGCTGTCGAGGTCCACGGTTCGTCGTCGAACAACGTCACTCCACATCGGCCCTTGACTGCTTGAAACCCTGAACCTGTCAGCGTTGTTGTCGTAGCAGGTCCACTTCTTGGTCTCCACGGCTTGCGGCCACTGACCTCTGCTTCCAAAGGTGCAATTGGCGCTGCCGTTGACGACGCTGACAACTCATGCCCTGCTGATAGTTCAGGCGGTTGGCCTCCGTTACAGCTGGCTCGTCCACAGGTGCTGGTAGTGCATGTGGCGGATGAGCCCCAGGTGGGTAGCGGTGGTTCGCTTGAAACTGCCGGGTGAGTAGCCCTCAACGTCTGAAGGTAGTTCGTCTGCTGCAGCTTCTCCTGAAATTGTGGTGGTTCGCTTGGCCCATGAGAAACACCTGGGACGCATGAAACTTCCAAAGTTCACCTCGTCTTGCGACCCATACCGTGTGGCCCTGCTGGGCAATGACAAAGCATGGTCCAACCTTGGCCAAAACGCCACGCCGTCCTTTGCCGCCAAACTTGCACTGGCTGCCCTTCAGTGACTTCAGTGAACATGTGGTTCTCCATCTGTCGTCGTGCCCTGCCCCGTCGCGCTCGTTGAAACCGCCCCTTGGCGACCAACGCCACTATAACGCTCGTCGGGCCGCGTCTCGAAGTTCACCTACTCGTTTCCACGCCTTGTCCTGCGTGACGGGCAGCTCCTAGCGCCGGTCGTCGCGCAGCAAGTCCAGCGCAAGTCGTGGTTGTCGCCCAAGAACCCGTTGCGCTGGCGTAAAACCAGAATGGTTGGTAGCTGCTTGAAGCGCCCACGCCGTCTCAAAGGTCAAGATCTCGATTTCGTCAAGGTCGCGGGGTTGTACCAACTTTCGGCTCTTGTAGTAAACCTTCTTGAAAAGCTCGCCTCGGCGCCCGCACACACCATTCTCGAATGCGGCGTCCTGACTTGCGACGAGTGGTTGGATCGTAAAGCGTTCGAGACCACTTTGAAAGTCGCCGCCGGCGAACTCCGTGCCCTGGTCGTAGATGGCGAAATCCGGTGGGCCGAGTGTGTTCGCAACCATAACCTTTCAAAGGCTTTGAGGGTGAGCTTTGGTGACCGCCGCAGTGGAGCGATCAATCCGAGGGTGGAATACAGCGTTCCGAGGCACGTCACGTTGAGCACCGGATGTTCGGTTTTGTTGTCAAGGCCATGGACGAAGAGCACGTTGACGCCGATGACCACGTTAAAATCGTATCATCTTGGTGTAGCCGCCGGCAGTCGCGTCGGTGATCGTTGCTCCAGATCACACATCGAAACTAATGCTGCCCGTACTGGACGACGTCGTTGCGGCAACCTGCGGCTTTCAACAAACGGACAAACTCGGCCCTGGAGACCTGAAATGGCCGCACAGACCAAGTGCGGAAGATACAGCCGAGCAAGAAAAGTTTGAAATGACTTGAAATGGGCAGTCGCAACAGCACTGACGCATCGGTAGTCAACCCGCTTCCACTCATGTAGTCGCCTTGGCCCCCACTGGCCTTTACTGCAAACATGGGTAATTGCTTCGTTTGTTTCTCAAAGCGTCTTGTTGGAACGCAGGCCCTAAGGTTCCGCTGACATAGACTTTTGTCGAGTCCTTTGCCGTGCTTGTAGAAGCAGCAGTTGTGGGTGGTTCAGCTGCAGTCAGACTCTCACACAGACAGTGATAATAACAATGTTGGAAATGCCTTCTCATCATCCTGACTTGCCTACATGCGCAATTTGAAGAACTAAGCTAGCTAGCATCCAGCGGCAGCTGGGAACTTCCGCTACGCTCTTTCAAGGGAAGGACTCAGGGACCACCCAGCGTCTCCTCTCCTTGGAACTGCGCGCTACTCACAATGTCTTCGGGGTGAGCAAAGGGAAGTCGGAGAAGGGATTTGGGGTAAGGCAGCACGATCATTGCAGGCAGGGGGCGAAAGAGGGAAGGAGCAGAGCCAGCATGGGAGGGGGCAATCCAAGGCTTCAGGGATCACTTCGTGAAGGTTGCATGGCTGAAACCTGCGTAGAGCCTTGTGCACGTGCGCAGCCCAGCTCCTGGCAGCGCGACTCAACCATGCGAGACCTCAGCAAGCCAAAGCTGTCAGCCCATCTTGCATTGCAATTCATAAAGCACTGTGATAAGTTTGACAGCCGACGTCGTCTGTCAACACAAGGCAGATCCCAAAACCACACCTCAGGCCGAAGTCTGAGCCACGCACGTCACCGAAGCAGCTGCGGCCGCTGCTGCAACAGCCTGGATCTGAAGTAGTGACTAGTGGTGCGGTCTCGCTCGAAGAAAGGTGCACTTGGTGGGGCCTTTAGAACTGCCTCTGCTGTCGGCGCAGCAGACTCTGGGCTGCCCTTGATTTTGTTCGCACCACCTTGGATCAAGGTGACGAGCCAACAACTGTTCCAAGATTTCCTGCTTGCACTGCCGCACTGCTGCTTTTCATCGCTTGGTGCTTGCTCGCTGCTTGCTGCTGAGGCCCGGACGCCAGAGAGGGGCGCCATGTTCGTAGGCCTCAGCAGCCTCAAGAAAAGCAAAGGCGACCACCAGGGAGGCCCTTTAAACACAACTAATTAACTCTACGCATGTTTATTCATCCAACGCGTGGAGTTCACAGGGGATGATGATTTGGGGTTTGACCTCAGCGGTCTCCTCCATCTCGTCGCCTCCCTCCTCCTCGTGCTCCTGCGTTTGCTCCCGCGCACTCGAGCAGCTCTGGGAAAAGTGGTGCAGCGAGGAAATTGCTGAGAGCAAATTCATCGTCCGCACCTCATGGTCGTGTTCCTCGTGGTCATGCGCCTTCCAGTTTCCAAGTTCCAGACAGGCTTTGCTGTGTTGAGATCTCCTCCTCATGCTCATGTTCTTCGTGATCTCCGTGCTCATGTTCGTGGTCACCGTGGTCCGCATGATCTGCATGGGCCTTGGCGTGTCTGGGAACTGTGGGAAGGCTTGTGGTGGAGGCTCAGGAGCCCTGCTGTGTGGCTGTGGTGGCCTTAGCAGAACGGCTGCAAAACTGCACGCCACAGGAGCTCCAGCTGAGCGCCTGAGGTCATGGCCATGGTCCTCGAGGTTTTCCTGAGCATCTTCTTAATGTGCTTACGAAATGTTGAGGGAAAAAGAAGCACTGATGTCGGCCTCTCTTACAGGGTAAACTGATTAAAGCTAAATGCGCATAATGTCAGGAAGTTTGACTGTCAAGCGCTTAAGCTTTAGAAGCTGCTACGGCAAATTTGCATCTCCAAGATAGCGGGCATCTCACTGGAACCAGCAAGACAGCACTCTTTTTGCGATGGACCAGGGCTTCGGCAATGTCCATTCCCTGCCATGTCCATCTCCCGCAGCAGCATGTAGACACACTGCTGAAGTCTTTTGCACCTGGCCTCCTCTCCACCCGCCGCATCCGCATGTGCGAAGTGAGAAACCTGCTCACGGATCCGCTGTAAGCCGAGCTGGCCAAGAGCTAGAGGCGAGCGTAACTAGTCAAATGGTACAGAAGGCACTCAGCTGAGGCCGCTGCTGCTGCTGTGGCTGTCATTAGCGCCGTCTTGCAGCAATTGTCAGCGTGAGATTCAGGACAAGGACAGCTTGCGAAGGGACCTTCACAGCGGCAGCGCCCTTCCAAGCCCCAAGCCTAAGCTGGGAGTCAGTGCGGTGCACCCTCCGAGTTGGCATTGAGAACTTTCAGCAGGTGGCACTGGAGCGAAGAAGGCCGTAGTCACCATGTCTTTGGTCCCAGGAAAGTGCGTGGAGGATGCCTGGAGGCTTGAACCCTCAGCAAATCCCTGACCACATGCAACTTATCCAGCTTGCCAAGAAACTTCTCGGGCATCCACTAAGGCCTTGGATGCTGCTAGGTCGTTCGGTCTTGAGGGTTGCTACCACTGAAGTTAGGTTGCTGAAAAACAATGATTGCCACTGATGCGACGTGTTTGTCGTCTGGAAACTAGCCCGTCTCTTGCAGTTTGCGGGCTCGACGGCCGTCGGCGGCTCAGCGCTTTGCTACCACCTTCCGGCCTTGCTTGAGCACGACTTCGGCCCAAGGCGAAAAGCGAGTGAAACTGAGGAGGCGACACAGCACCCTGCGCACTGAAGCAGAGCGGCGACCAGCAAGCCAACGCGGCAGCAGCAGTTCCCAATACTTTCAAACACTGCAGACCAATTTGGCACAGTGTCATCAATGTCCTGCTTGCCCTGACTTCAAGTCTCCCGGGGTAAGGTTAGACCAGCTCTGCTAGCAGGAATGCAAAGCACGGAAGACCCATTTTGTTTTTTTTCCGTGGCATCGTGTCTTGCGAGGCGTTGATGGGCGTCAATGGCCATGGTGCAAGGGCATTGGGCATTGCCCTCCATGAGTCTCGGAGGGTGCTGACAGGGCCCAATATCCTTCATAATCTTTCTATCTTTGCAAACAATACCCCTTTCCTCCTAGATTCCGCTGGAAGGCTCACCTCGCCTGCACGTTACTGGCGAATGGAGGGGTGGGATGAACTGCGGGACGACGACCTGTGCGACAAGACGAACGGGCGCAGCGAATCGCAGGGAACGGCATGGCAAAAGATGGCCACACTGCTCAGACGCTCAGAGCACCGACATCTCAGCGTCCTACAGGTTGTGCAATTCAGCGAACAAGACTCCTGGTTCTAGCAATCAGCAACATACCTCTTGTGCATGTCTACCAGTGGTGATACTGGCGATACTTACTTCCGCGGGTCCAAACCTGCCTGCTAGGATGAACTCATGGCAGTGCACGTCAACGCAGCTGCACCGACACAGAGCGCTCGTCCAACCTGAGCTGAGACCCTATGTCCGAACCAGGTCGTTCGCCAAATGCTTGGGGTCTGGCCGTGCGCTAGCATCGATGAGGATATCAACCCCCTTGCTTAAAGCAAGAAGGCATTTTATAAACGCAGGGGGACAGGACGGCCTCTTCATGGGCGAGGGCCTTGAGGCGGTCTGCTGCCTCTCTGTCCTTCAAGTGGGAAGCACTGCATGAGCGGAACCCTGCCCTGTCCCTCCTCCAGGACGACTTGCAGTCGCAGCCTCTTGGGTTTAGGCTGTGTTGCGGGCCTGGCAGAGTCCGGGGTTTCAAGAAGCTCAGCTCGGCTGCTCAGCTCCCAAAACGCCAAGGCCACTCCTGGCCAGCCAAAACGCCTGGGCCTGAGCAAAGGCGTAAGTCAGGATCTCTTAAGCAGCCAAGCTTAAGCGGGTCTTCCCTTTGCCTGGCCTGGCTCCAAAAGCTCGGCCTGGCAAAGGTCACTCGCACAGCGTAGGAGACCTGCCAGGCTCCCAACATGTCTGAACCTCAGGTTCAAGGTCCTAATGACAGCAGGGAGCACGCCCCAATAGACCTTCGGTCGGGAGAGACCTCTCCAAGCAAAGCACTTAGGATGCAGCGCTTTGGAAAGCGAGCGGTTTGCCTGGAGAGGGCTCTCTCCAGCAAGTCCTCTAACTCCTGTGGGATGTGCAGAATGCAAGGGACTGAAGCTGACTCAACCAGCCCAGCAGCCCAAGTCTCCTGTCGCAGTCTTCTTTGAATGCTGTGGAGCTGCCGCACCTTGAGGGCAATCTGCTGCAAGCGCTCTGCAAGCTCTGCGTGTAGCTGGTACGGTAACTTCAAGGGCGCCCGGCTATTGCAGGGGACTCGAACCTGAGCGCGCAAGTGGCAAAACCCCCAGAAAGCAAAGCTTGGCACGACCCAGGCTGAGGCCGGAAAACGCTTTCGGTGCCACTTGTCCGTCTCTCCCTGAAATAACCCGCTTTGCCCATCGCTCTACACGTCCCGCATCGTTCCGCCAATGCTGCCGAGGCACAGGTGGCCTGTGACAGCGCGCAGAGCAGCCTCCGACGTCAGCAAGCCAAAGAACTCGGCCTGGCCTAAAGCCCTCCAAATCCAAAACCTTTCTGAGGGCAAGCAACAGTCAACTAAAACTTTCAAACTCATTGGAGTGCAGACGCATGCGCTGAGGCTGATGCGGAGGCAATGGCAGAATGGCAAGATAACGCGCCAGGCTGTGGGTGTGAATCACAGTGATGGTAAAAAAATCCATGAGTTCTGCGACAGGGGGACGGTAAAATCGCAGTGCCATGATGTGCCATGACGATGCTTACGGAGAGGACAGCACACAACGCAGACAACGGCCATGCATGAGCACGGACAAGACGCCCAGCTGCTGCTAATGATGCTAATGATGAGCATGATGGTGGCGCCGGCGGTGGGGATGTAGGTAGTGACAACAACGGCAAATGTCATACCATAGTGTTTTGTAATTATAGGAGGCATGCACTGATGGATGACAAAATTCATCTGCTAATCATCTAATTGTGCTCACAATGCTGCTGATGCATGTTGCGGCAACTGACAGAGTTGACCTCCGCGGACGATAGAATGAATGGGAGTCTTGTCCAAAATTGAGGGGACCAAATAGAGGTCCTCCCCTGACAGAGCTCATGACGATGACGAATTACAACCAAAAGCTTGATGAGGACAGTTCGTTACCATGGTGAAACACCTGGTGCTGGCGATGATGATGATGATGAAGGTGATGATCTTCTTCCTCCGCCGCAGAAAGAGTCCTGCGTTGCGTCCTGACAACCTCAAGCTTTTCTTGAGGGTCCTCCCAAGTTTTGGGCAAGCAAAAAAGAGTAGCTCCGGCCCGACAGGCCCCATATGCAAGCTACTCTACATCAGCCATGAAAGCCTGGACTGATCAATGACAAGTGCCTAATGTATGGCAATCAGACATGGAGCCATGTATCTAGGTTTAATACCGTGAAGCAAGGTAGCTTCACACAAGGCTTTCTTGGCTGAACTGACTGCTTCAACGTGTTTCCTCAA